AATACACAATTAAATATATAAATAACTATAAATATATATTTATAAGTAAATAGATATATATATCAATATAAATATAATAATATATAAATATAACTTCACTATAAATATCAATATAAAGAATTATAGCAGACATATTGATATAAATATAAATATAAAAGTCATTAATGGAAACACAAAATAAAGAAAATATAAGCAGTGCTTCATCCCTTGTTCAATTAATTAAAAAAATCAAATAAGATACATTTAGTCACTATCACTCTCGGTTAAGTAATTTGGAACTTCTTCTTCCGATGTTTCCGTTCCATCAAACTCTTCCTCTTCATCATCATCCTCACCCACACATTCCTCCTTTGCCACATATGGCAATTGCATGACCTCACTAATCACCATGACCTCACTAATCACCACTTGTTCTCCCCCTTGAGATGCTAGTGAAACATGATCCTTTAAAACAGTCAAGGGTCGCACCAATTGTGGCATAGGAGGATCATCGTCTTGATAATAAACATTTCCACCATCACTCAACAATGAAGTGTCAATTATTGCTCTTGCTCTAATCTTACATGCAGCAAACCACCCTTTTCTACAAGGATTTTGAGATGGGTAATGGGCATAAAACACTTGTTGAGCTTGACTAGCCAATATGAATGGTTCATCTGTTTGTAATTTAAACCGAGGATTTATGTCAACTATACCAGATGTCGAATGGACCACAATGCTTTTGTTGATATCATACCACTCACACTTGAACAAAATCATTGATTGATGAACATATGAGTCAAAATACAGAAGCTCAATTATTTCCTTCAAACTCTCATAATAATCTGACTCATCATTAAAAGTGGTTCCCTTTACACAAACACCGCTATTCATGATCTTTTTATTTTGTCCAAATGCAATAGTATGAAACTGGAATCCATTAACCCAATAACCATTGTATACCCTAACGTTATTGACTGGGCCAGTTACTAAAGGCAAAAGGCGAGAATCAACTTCATATCTTCCACCGCGCACCTAGATTTGTTATAAAAATATTTAATATTTAATCCTAAAATATATAAAAATTGAGATCTTAATAATAAAAATTATTAAAATAAATTACTTATTGTTGTCTTAAACCAAGGAATAAATTCAAGTTGCTGTTTGATTTGAATTTGATCCTCTGATAGACCGGAACATACTTGATAATCAAAAAGCCTACATGAAGAAGTTGGAGTAAACAATCTAAACATACTAGTAACTTAAACAAATGGAAGTTAGAACTAGAGAACATATGCAATCCATGGATTAACTTCTTCACAATTAAGCAAAACATAAAGTCCTGTTGCCTTTAATTCTTTGGGTGACAGTGCACGCATATGCATTTCTCCACCTAGTGGTTGACCTTGATGTTTAAAAACAGACAAACAATTATCCATATCATCATTCACGTCGACAATGTTTCTTAGTTGATGATTCAATCTTGTCTCTATGTTAGATCCAAAATAATGTGAGCAAAAGAAGGTAATTTATGAAAGAATATTAGACTCACAAATCGAAGCTTCAACATGATTTTTGTTCAAAACTGTTTTCTTAAGGTCATGCATTTTTCTGTTAAACAAATAAGAAAATTAATTAATAACAATAAATTATTAAATATGCTCATGAATGTTATTGTGATGCAAAGATATATTATAAGAAATATACCTTTCAAAAGGACACATCCAACGAAATTGGATAAGTCCTCCAACTTTTGCCTCATATGGTAGATGGATAGTCAAATGCTCCATTGAGTTAAAGAATGCTGGCGGGAATACTTTCTCTAACTTGCAAATGGTCTCAACAATTTTTTCCTCCCACATCTTCACGTTACTGACTTGAATAATCGGAGTAGTTAAAGCTCTAAAAAAGTGACTAATCTCAGTTAAAGGACCCCAAACTTCATTTATGAGGAAATCATGGAAAGCAATTGGCAAGAAACGTCGCATGAATACATGACAATCATGGCTTTCATCCCAAACAATCGAAGTTCCTACATGTTAACACATCGTGCTATGTTGGATGCATACCCATCTGGGAATCTCAATTCCTTTAGCCACTAATAGATAAGAGCTCGTTGCTCTCGAGTAAGAACATATGTAGCATTGGGTTTTATAGTTGTTTCATCATCTTGAGGTATCAATTCTAATTCAGATCTATTGCAATACAGTTGTAAATCCAATCTAGCATTGGTGTTATCCTTCATACAACCCTTGTCATCCATGACAGTATTTTTAATGTTATCTAAAAAATTCTTCTCACAATACATGACATCAAGGTTATGACGAATCAATAAGTCCTTCCAGTATGGCAATTCCCAAAATATACTGCATTTCACCCAATTATGAAAAACACCAAATCCTGCAACTGAATGTTTACGAAGTGGCTGGCAAAAGACTATGTCAGGGAGCTAATTAACCCTTTCTTCCATCAAAGTTCCATCTAGTCTTGGGGGAGGGGGATGGCTTTTTTCAACTTTATCGAGATAAAAATTTTTCTTATCTCTATGAAATGGATGTTGAGGAGGTAGAAATTGACGATGACAATCAAAAAATGATGTTTTCCTCCCATATTGAAGTTGAAAAGCCTTAGTGTTCTCCATGCAATAAGGGCATGACAACTTCCCATGTGTGCTCCATCCAGATAACATGCCATAACTTGGGAAATCACTTATAGTCTATAGCAATGCAGCTTTCATGATAAAATTCTGTCATCTGAAACTATCATAAGTTTCAACCCCATTTGTCCACAATTCCTTAAGTTCATCAATTAATGGCCTAAGCATGACATCAATGTTTTTTCTTGGACTTTTAGGTCCAACAATTATCATGGTAAGAAATATATGCTCTGACTTCATACACAATTCAGGAAGAAGGTTGTACACTATAAGAAAAACAATCCAACAAGAGTAAGGTGTTGCAGAGCAACCAAATGGATTGAAACCATCTGTACAGAGGCCAAGTCTAACATTTCTAGGTTCATCAGCAAACGTTGGGTGGGTTTTATCAAAGTGTTTCCATGCCTTACTACCCGCAGGAAGAATAACTTCATCCGCATCCTCGCGGCATTTCAAATGCCATGTCATGTGCTCTGTTGTTTTCCTAGACATGTATAGTCGTTGCAATCTTGGGGTAATTGGAAGGTACCACAAATATTTCCTTGGAACATCTTTTTGCCTTATAGTAGACATATTCCTTGACTCATAAGGGGATTCTCCACACACTGGACAAGCAGTTAAATTCTTAGTTTGCTCATCATAGTACAAGAAGCAATCATTGACACAAATATCAATTTCTTGTACCCAAGTCCAAGTACATTTATCATTTTTTTGGCACCATAAAAATCCTTTGGCACCTTTTCTTGGTCCTTTGGACTTAACAACTTTCGACTCAATGAAAATGCCATATCCCAATTAGCAGCACTCATATTATAAAGAGTTTTCATGTTTAGTATTTTTTTCATCCATGAAAGTACTGTAACATCCTATCTCTTAGCACCTATATGAATTTCTGCAGCATGCAAGTGATCATAAAATTCTCTTGCCTTACTATTTGGCTCCTTAGCCATTGGCCCCTCATTATATTCAGACTGTGCACCCATTGCATCAACTACCATTTCATGATATAATGCACCTACCTCATTTCTAACAAACTCCATATTATAATATTCCCCTTCAATGTTTCTTACTGTATTGCTAGATGTCTCTCCATGAACATCCCATGTATAATAGTTATTGGTTAAATACCCTTTTTGGTCCCTCTACTATAGGAAAAAGTCCCTTTTTAGTCCCTATACCGAAAAAATCCCCTTTTTGATCCTTACTATTTGAAATCTAGTCCCTTTTTAGTCCTTCTGTCAATTAAGTGATAGCATGGCACAATAATCCGTTAAATGTCTTTTTTTTTTTCTTTTTAATGGTGACATATTATTACATGTTGCAAAATTAATGAGTTGGTAATCAAATTTATTTTCCATGTAATCAATAGGTTCTAACATAATTAAAAGAAAAAAATCATTTTTTCCCTTTGTCTTTTCATTTCCCATTTCTATCCTCATTTTCTTCCTAAGCTCAAATCCTCGATCCTCTCTACCATTGCTTAAACTTAATCCCCCTCTTATCCATTGATTTCTTCTTCTTTGCCAAACCTTCCTCCATCAAAGCCCTCAAATCTTCACACCAATCTTTATCTCAATTAAAGCTCAAATCTTCACTAATTTGCCCCCATTTTCTTCCCCCTTCTGTCTTATCCTCTCCTTTCCCTTCATTATCATCTCTTTTTCTTTTTTTTTTTAAACCTTTGCTGGGTTTGTCACAAACCTAGGCGTGACTTGGGTTCATCATGCCTGAGTTCATCTTGGGTCCATGAGCACGCCTGGGTGGGTTCGTCCTGTGTTCATTGTGAACCCAAGCGTGACTTTGGTTCATCACGCCTGAGTTCATCTTGGGTTCATGACAAACCCAGACCACGCTTGGGTGGGTTTATCCTGGGTTCTTCGTGAACCCAGGATGAACCGAGTTCGCGCGACTGGGTTGTCTTTGTCCCTTTGTTAATTAATTTCTACCCTTTCCCTCTTCCTTCTCTTCTAAATCTGTTTCCCTTAATGCCAATGCTCTCCTCCCCCTTTTGCGATACCGGTGCTCTCACTCTTTCCTTTCTTTTCCCCCCATCTCCCTCTGTTGTTCTCCTTCTCCCTTCTCTCATGTCGCGATCTTCATCAGGCTAGCCTTGCTCTCATGGTGCGAGGACAGTGGCATGAGGAAACGCAGATCTAGATTGCTCATCATCGCGAACCTAGATATGAGTTCAGTCCCTTGGTTTTTCCTCAAATACCGTTGTTACAAGAGTAGTGTAGATGAGGGTCGATTATTTTACCAGATAAGAGAAAATAATGTCTTATACCCAGGTCTAAGTTATTTTATTGAATAAAATCTGCTCTTCATTTTCAAACAATTATTGAATAAATTCCTAAAGGCTTTTGAAATTGATGGGTTCTTTAGATCTTGATTGGTGGGATTGAGTCTGGCTTTGGCAAAGTAGAGGAGGATCGGGGATTTGGGCTTAGGAAGAAGATGAGGATAGAAATGGGAAATGAAAAGACAAAGGGAAAAAATGATTTTTTTCTTTTAATTATTTTGGAACCTATTGATTACATGGAAAATAAATTTGATTGCCAACTCATCAATTTTGCAATTTGTAATCATATGTCACCATTAAAAAAGAAAAACAAAAGACATTTAACGGATTATTGTGCCATGCTGTCACCAGTGTTTTAAAAATCGACCCGAAGGTCAAACTATTTTGACCTTCGGTTCTCGATTTAATCGGTTCAACTGGTTCACTCATTCAAACTGCCAGGTCAATGCAAATGAATAAATATAATGTTGTGTAGTACTTTGACATTGCAGGTGCAGTGGATTAACCGGTTTGTAACCTTGCTATTGTGGAGGGAACGCAAGTTCGAGCATACACCATGTTAAAATGTAATTAGAGTATTTCTAATTTTATAGTGGGTTTTTTAACATGTAAAATGTATAATATATGTAATTTTTAATTAATTTATATAAAAAAATGTAAAGATTGACTTTAAATTAATTAATTAATCAATTAAAATCATCTATATAAATATCAATTTTTATAATTTTTTATATAAATTAA